CTATGACCCCACATACCACAGTATGTGCACCTCAGAGGTTTATAATGCCCTGTGGTTTTCTTCATGTTCGCCCTCTGATTGGAACATTCACCTCGAGCTGTCTCTTATACACATCTAGATGTGTATAAGAGACAGCTCACGTTTCGTTACAATTCACTTTTCCACATCATGGTCCAGGTGCCTGCAATTTCTCATCCTATGACCCCACATACCACAGTATGTGCACCTCAGGGGTTTATAATGCCCTGTGGTTTTCTTCATGTTCGCCCTCTGATTGGAACATTCAGCTATGATTCAATATACCCTGTCTCTTATACACATCTAGATGTGTATAAGAGACAGCACACACACACACACACACGCAAACACACGCGCGCAGGTTCAACCTCATAGCCTGTATCCATTCATGATGAGGGTGCATTGCATTCGGGGGAAGACTGTAGTAGGCCAAGCAAAGTGCTTTCTTTTGCCCCGACTCTCTTACCTTCTGCTTCTTTCGGCAGGGTCTTTGTCTTTCTGGGGTCATGGTAGGCGAAAGAACTGAAACTGGGCATTGCAGGCATTTGGAGAGACATTAGTGCGCATTACTGCAGCTGATGTGGAAGAGTGGCAGGGGTTGGTATCCTGAGTGCGGGGAAAAGCATCTGATTAGGTGAGGATTTTGTTTTGGGCACTGTAGGTACATGGGATGCCACAAGTGGGTTGCTGCAGCTGGTTCGTGAACACTGGGAAGAGTGGGTGGATGTTGGTATTCTAAATGCAGGAAAAAGCATTGGCTGTCTGGGATGTCTATTCCAGGTGTCATCTACTGCCAACATGTTGCTGATCGGTTATCTTCTGTATCATCAATGGGCAGGCCCCAGTGAGCGCCCCCAAAGGTCACACTTCAGGCACCTTTCACTCAATTTGAAATGAGGAATAGCTGACAGACTAACGGTCACAGGATAATTTGGATAGTCGTCAGATCACCTCCATCAGGGAGGGCCATCAATGCTGTCCATTTCATTCTTGCAACCTTTATGTTTATTTGTGGGACGGTGGACCCTTTCCGGCAGGTGCAGCTTCCCACCAATAGATTGGAGCCATAGCCAACGGGGTCCCCTGTTTATGGAGGCTGCTCATATCACCTCCGGAAGGGGGCCATCCAATAGATGTTTAAGAGATAGATAGATAGATAGATAGATAGAT